TACTTCTCATTGGAGGATGAGCTCAGAAGCAAGGTGGGCAGCTGCCGACCTCTCTGCTCCTGCTGCCCCTTTCCCCACAGCCTCTTGGGCCCCTCTGGTCACCACCGTCTGCCTGGTGCAGGTGTTTGCGGAGAAGATGGGCCTGGAGACAGGCTGGAATTGCCACATCTCCCTCACGCCCAACGGTGACATGCCCGGCTCCGAGATCCCCCCTTCCAGCCCTAGCCACGCTGGCTCCCTGCACGACGACCTGAACCAGGGTGAGGGCAGAGGTTTGGTGTGGACACGAGGTGGGTGTGGGCCGTCCCCCATCCTTGGAGCTACAGCTAGAACTTCCCTGGATCCCTCCTGGGAAGCTGGCTGTGATCCCCCGCGGTAGCTGCAGTCGACGGGGTTGGGGGAGAGGAGAGCTCGAGAAGGAAGTCTTGCGCCATCTTCAGGGCTAGGAAAGACCCCCAGAAGGCTGGCCCCACGGTGAGGGAAAGGCTTTTGTCCCCTCAGCGTCCCGAGATGACGTGGAAGGACTCCTTCTAATGGAGGAGGAGGGTCACTCGGACCTCATTAGCTTCCAGCCCACGGACAGCGACCTCCCCAGCTTCCTGGAGGACTGCAACCGGGTACGACTGTTCCCCCCGGAGCCTTGGGGTTGGCAATGGGGCTGGTCCAGGGCAGGGGAGCGAGGGAAGGAGGGAGGAGGGGTCCTGAGGCCACGCCCATCTCTGCTCCCTGCAGGCCAAGCTGCCCCGGGGCATCCACCAAGTGCGGCCCCACCTGCAGAACATCGATAACGTGCCCCTGCTGGTGCCCCTCTTCACCGACTGTACCCCCGAGAGTGAGTGCTGTGGCTGGGCGCTCAGCCAGCCCGGCCCTGGGTGGAGCACTGCCAGCCCCTGGCACCCCATGGGCTCCGGAGGGGTGTTGGTTTCCCATGCAGGGAGCAGAGGAAGCTGGGCTGGGAGGAGCCGGGGAGTCTTGTGGGCAGGAGCCCAGCGTAGCCCATTCTAGGGACTCAGAAGTGACAGTATTTGTACAATGTGTATGACATTGGGGGTGGGATGGCTCCAAAGAGGGGCCTGATTTCCCTTGTCTCCTGCCCTGGCCTGTGGGTCTCTGCCCAGCGCCCCACGTGGGGCTCCACCTGCCTGACCCTTGTGCCCCTGACTCTGCCCCCTCAGCCATGTGTGAGATGATCAAGATCATGCAGGAGTACGGGGAAGTGACCTGCTGCCTGGGCAGCTCCGCCAACCTGCGGAACAGCTGCCTCTTCCTCCAGAGCGATGTCAGGTCAGCGCAACAGCCCAGAGCCCGGACTCCCCACGACCGGCCTGGGCATGGCGGGGAGATAAGGGAGCAGGGGGCTGGCTCGGTCCCCTGGGAGATGGATGGAGTCTTGGCGGACCCCAGCTGATGGGCACACTTCACTTCCCCCCTCCCATGCTGAGCAGCATCGCCCTGGACCCCCTGTACCCGTCCCGCTGCTCCTGGGAGACCTTCGGCTATGCCACCAGCACCAGCATGGCCCAGGCCTCGGATGGCCTTTCCCCCCTGCAGCTCTCGGGGCAGCTCAACAGCCTGCCCTGCTCGCTGACCTTCCGCCAGGAGGAGACCATCAGCATCATCCGGCTCATCGAGCAGGTGGGGCTCAGGCAGGCCTGGGAGCAGAGGTCAGAGCCTGCTGGGGGCGGGGAGTCGCGTGCAGGACCCTCCTGGGCTCTCGGGGGCTCTCCATCTCCACGCGCAGCTCTCCCAGGAGGTTTAGCGTGCCCCGGCCGCTCGCTAGCGTGAACATCTGCCACATCTGGCTGAAGCATGTCAGCTGCAGGGCCTGAGCACAGCCACCCCCTGCCTCTCCCGCTCCCTAGGCCCGGCACGCCACCTACGGCGTCCGCAAGTGCTTCCTCTTCCTGCTGCAGTGCCAGCTGACACTTGTGGTCATCCAGGTAAGGTGGGGCCGGCACGGGCATCACCTCCCAACACCCGGCTCCTGTGCCCCGGGGCCAGGTAAGAGGCTGGGAGGAGGCAGCACAGCCTGGGGGCCCCCCAGAGCTTCTGAGAACCCCCGCTGCAGAGTTGTGTCCCCTCCAGCCCTCTGGGCGCAGGGTAGGGCAGCCCCGGGGCTCCTAGCATCTGACTCTTTGCTAGAATCTAATCATGCTTCCTGGCTCTTCCTGGCCCAGTTCCTCTCTTGCCTCGTCCAGCTGCCGCCAATCCTGAGCACCACCGACATCCTGTGGCTGTCCTGTTTTTGCTACCCTCTGCTCAGGTGAGAGGCCGGGCCACCCCCTGGGTCATCAGCATCCTCCGGCTCCAGGGTCCAGGGTCAGGATGTCTCCCAGCGTCCCCAGAAGCCCAGGTTCAGGAAGCCATGCTAGTGCCCCCCACCGTGGGGCCCACCCAGCCCCAAGGGCGTCCCTTCCTTGTCGTAGCCCAACTGCCCAGCACAGTTGCCCTTGCTCTTGGGACTCCTGAAAAGCTTCTCCTTGGGAAGAATTGGAGGACACGGGGACTTCCTTGGAGGTCCAGTGGCTAAGACTCCATGCTCCCGATGCAGGGCACCCAGGTTCAAATCCTGGTTGAGGAACTAGATCAACTCGTGCAGCCATATAAATATTTAAAAAAAGAAAAGCATAACTTAGAAAAAAAGAGAATTAGGGGACACGGGGTCACAGTCCCCACGCTTCACCGAGTCCCTGCTTTTCAGCATCTCTCTGCTGGGGAAGCCCCCACATAGCTCCATCATGTCTATGGCAACGGGGAAGAACCTTCAGTCCATTCCTAAGAAGGTAAGTGACGCGGAGCCCGTGGGCCTGGGCTTTTCCCGAGGAAGGTGAGTGTGGCGGGGGCTGAGGGGGGATTCCCATCAAAGGGGAGGGGGCTGCAGAGTGGGGAAGGCTCCTTGCTCTTGTCCCCCGGGGCCACCCACTTCCCGAGGACCCCTGAACCCGTGCACCCGAGTGATGGACCTCCTCTTCCCTCAGACCCAGCACTACTTCCTACTCTGCTTCTTGCTGAAGTTCAGCCTCACCATCAGCTCGTGCCTCACCTGCTTTGCCTTCACACTGCAGAACTTCTGCGACAGGTCCCAGGCCCGCAACCTCACCGACTGCTCCTCCATCATGTTGCCCAGGTGGGTCCCGCCCCTCACCCTCACCCCCGGGGCCACCTCCCTGGGGCCCCGAGGAGGCTGAGCCCACACGTTGCCTTGGCAGCCACGCCGACACGGCCCCAGTCTGGTTTGATGACTTCGCCAACGGGCTGCTGTCGGCTCAGAAGCTCGCCGCCGCCCTGATCGTCCTACACACCGGTGAGCGGTGCCCCGGTGCTGGGTGGGGGCCAGGGGGACTCCCCAGGGCGAGGCCTCTGGCCATGGGACGTCTGACACGTGCGACGGCCCCATTTTCCCCAGTCTTCATCTCCATCACCCACGTACACCGCACCAAGCCCCTGTGGAAGAAGAGCCCCCTGACGAACCTGTGGTGGGCCGTGACCGTGCCCGTGGTGTGAGTCTGAGGTGGAGGGCGGGAGCCGGGGGGTGGGCGGCCAGAGACTGAACGGCACCCTCCGGGCACGCCTCCTGCCGAGAAGGGCAGGGAAGGAAGCAGGGGGCCCCGGCTAATGCGGGGCTGCCGCCTCCCGCAGGCTGCTGGGGCAGGTGGCCCAGACGGCAGTGGACCTGCAGCTGTGGACACACAGGGACAGCCGCGTCCACTTCGGCCTGGAGGACGTGCCTCTGCTGACGTGGCTCCTGGGCTGCCTGTCCCTGGTCCTCGTGGTGGTCACCAACGAGGTCGTGAAGCTGCATGAGATCCGGTGAGCCACTGGCCGGGCGTGTCCCCTCTGGGCTCAGGCGTGCTCCCTAAGCCGGTCACCTCCTGGCCTCATCCCACGCCAGCCTTCCTGCCGACCTCTGCATCCTGTCTACCTTGGTCTCGGTGTCTGCGCTAACCTGGTCTTCAATCTCCACCCACCAGGGTCCGCGTCCGCTACCAGAAGCGACAGAAGCTGCAGTTTGAAACTAAGCTGGGCATGAACTCTCCCTTCTGAGCCTCTGGCCGTGGGCCATAGTGTTGTGGTCCCTGGGGCTGAAGCCACACCCGTTTCTGCGTCTGGGGAGTTGATATCATGAATGTTTCAGGGCTTGCTCTTGTGCCACGGGGCCCTGGAGGCCCAGCTCCCGGTGTCAGACCCAGCTGTGGTCCCCATCCCGGGGCTTCCCGCGGAGACGCAGAGCTGCAGCCTCAGTCCAGGACCGTCTGGCTCTTCCTTGCCAGGGGGAGACCCCTGGGCTCTTGAATGTATGACCTCGTGTGCTTAGCAGAGGGGCCCTCAGCCCCCTCCACCTGTGGGCTGCCCCCCTCCAGGGCCCCCTGACCGAGTGCCACCTGGTCTTTGGGCAGAGCTGTGGACCGTGGGGCCTCTGGTGGGAGGGCAGTCCTGGGACGTGCCAGCGGTCCTCCATGGCGCTGCTGGAGGCTGGGGTGGCGGGGCGCCCTCCCTGGGCCCCCCTCGTCCTGTCTTCCTGGGGCAGAGCCCACTCCTCCTCTGTGGGGGGCCTCATGCTAGGGCCTGAAGACGGAGCCGAGCCCCCGCCTGGCCCGAGAACCTCCTCCCAGGCCGCCCTCGGGCAGGCCCTGGAGCCAGTCCCGGGGGCGCAGCCTGGAACCTCCTTCCAGCCTCAGCCCCAGTTACCCTGTGAGAATGTTTTTACTGGTGTATATTTTTTACTGGAAATGAGCCTTTTGGGAATGAATACAGACTGGTTTGTATTAAAACTTATAAACTGCTGAAGCAAAACCTGTGGCTGGTCCCTGAGGCAGCCACGAAGGGGCCCACCCAAGGGTCAGGCCAGTGAGGGAGCCCCTCCCTGAAGGTGAGTTGAGGGGGGGGCCAAGTCTTCCACCTTCCCCCCACCGCACATTGGTGGGGGCGCTCGGGTCTGGCTCAGGCGCGACCCCTGGGCTCAGAGGTTCACGGCGCACATCCAAACACACAGCACGGTCTCGTGGAATGACACTTTCATTGGTGTTAGTTGGGGGAAGAGGTTAAATGCTTACAGAGCCGGGGCCTTGGCCAGGCAGGTCAGGCATCCAGCCCCATGGCGGGCAGTGGGTGCTCTCACTGTGGTCCGAAGCCCCCCACCCCCACCACTTCGTCCTCACAGGCAGTTATAGATAGAATAAATTCCATTTAAAATATATGCATTTCTCTCTGCTTAAAAAATAACATTTACAGTTGGAAACGTTTGGACTCTGGGGATCTGTTCAAGGGATCCGTTAATTCCACCGGCCCTGCCGCAGACAGCTTTGCCTCGCTGAGGGCAGGCAGAGCCGGGGCCCGAGGCGGGCTGTGCCGCTGATGGTGAGAGCAGGCCCCGGCCCTTGACACGTCCTGTGTGCACCTGCCGGGGCCCGGCCAGACACACCGCGGCCTCCAGCCTCTCAGGGCGCCAGGACTGCACGGCGGGTGGCCAGGGGACCTTGGCACAGGCACCTGAGACACAGGTTGGGGGTGGACAGAGAAGGCACCCCAGAAGCCCGGCCACCACTCTTCCTGGATAGGAAGCTCTTACCAGGGTCCCTGTCTGAGAAGCAGGGTCCTCCCGTCAGATCACACATTGCAGGGATAAGGGGGCTTTGCTGAGACGTCAGGTTCTGAAAAGTCCTCTCTGCTCCACATGGGGCTGCTGTGGGGAAGGCCGCAGGCTGGGGGCGGCAGGAGGGGCCCCGCTCGGGCGGCAGGGGTGTCTTCTGCGCTGGGGGAGGCAGCGGGCGCTGTGGGAGGCAGCGGGCGCTGTGGGAGGCAGCAGTGGGGGCCGCCGAAGGCCGCCGGCATGTCCGGCTCAGTCCAACATGGCGTCCAGCTGGTCAGCCAGGGCGTCAAACATGGTGCTGATGTCATCTAGGATGTGCTTGGCGGAGGCGCCGGGGGCGCTGCAGCAGGGAAGGGCCAGGTCAGACGAGCCGGCAGTCTGCACCCTGCTGGCCCTGGGCATGGGGCCTGGCTGGGGCGAGCGCCAGGTGTGCATCTTGCCCCATCTCTCACAACTTCCCGAGGTCATGGGAGTCACTGACCCTTCCTCCCACAGAGGCACTGGGGTTCACAGAAAGAAGTGACTGGTCCAAGCTCGTGTGCCTCTAAGTGCCACTTGCCTGCAGGCCAGATCTGGGTGACCCCTTCCCGTGGGGACCCCCCCAGCCTAAGGATCTGCCTGCCTGCCATGACACCGATGTCCCCTCCCCAACCTCCCCAGACCCTGGGGAAGGACTCGGGGGGGTGGGGGAGCCGCTCTTACGTCTCCATCTCCCGTTCTCCCAGCACCCTCACCCCTCTCGCTCCTCTGCGCTAATGCTCTTCTCCGCGGCCCGCAGTGCAGCTGCCAGCGATGAGCTGGTCTGCTCCAGTCTCTGCTGGGCCCGGCCCGGGCCTGCGGCCCCCGCGCTCTCTGGCCTTGGAGGGGGCACCGGGCGGGGACCGAGCCGGGGAGCCAGCTTAGGGCCGGAAAATGCCAGCTGGGTGCAGGCCACCGACACAGGCTTGGGGGCTGTTCCTGCAGAGACAAAGAGGTTGGCCTGTGACTCAGCTGAGCCGGACACAGGCCCTACCCACACCAACCTCTCCCCACAGGCCCTGGCTTCATACCTGCTCCGGGCACCTTGATGAGGGCAGCGGGGGCAGCCGGGGGCTCAGTCTCCCCAGGCCGCCGACTATTTTCCAGGGCCGGCCCAGGGGGCTGGGCCGGGGGGCTGGTGGGGAGAGGGGCTGGAGCTCCGGGGGTGGGAAGGCTGCTCAGGTCAGGCCGGGGAGGGCTGGGAGAGGCCGCGGGGGACTCGCTGGGGGTCTGCGAGGGCTGGGGGGCAGGGGCATTGGGCGTGGCGCCCGCCACTCCAAAGGCCAGGAGTGCCGTCTGCAGTGGCTCCCTCTCCCGGCACTTGGGCCTCCGTTTAACAGTGTCTGACTCTGTGAGGTTGAAGTCAAGGCCGGTGGGCACCGGCGTCTCCCGGGGTTGGGGTCCTGCCGGCTTGGGCCGCTGTTTGATAGTCAGGTTCCCCTCCTCTGCAAAGGGGAGCCCTTCCCCTGAGCTGCCCCGAGACGGGGGTGTCCCCTCGGGCCCCGGGTCCTCCTCCTCCGTGTCCGATGCGGCGCCGGCCGGGGCAGGTGGGCCAGGCGGCTCCGAGGGGCCTGTGGGTTCGCTCAGTGTTCGCCTCCGGGGCCCTGTGGCCCCTTCCTTGGGCCCCAGGCTTCCATCCGGTGGTGGGGGCTCCGGGGTGGAGCCAGAGACGGAGCTGAGGCGCTTGGGGGGCGGGGGCGGAGGGCCTTTGCGGCGAGCCCGGAGGGCAAAGGACTGGCTGCGGGGAGCCCCCCGCGTTGGGGTTGGGCTGGGGCTGGTCCGGGCGAGGGTGCTGCGTCCTGGTCGCCGAGTGAGGGTGGCGTAGCTGCCCAGGGCACTATCCACTGGCCCTTCGGCCTCCCCGTCGGCCTCCCCCTCGGCTGGGCCAGGGCGGCTCAGGCTGTGGGACCGGCGCTTGGGCCGCGGGGGGTCTGGAGGAGTGGCCGGGGAGCCGGCCAAGTAGGAGAAGGCCCGGGGAGCGCCCGGAGGCGGCCCAGGGGCCGGGCTGGAGGGTGAGGCCTGGGGGTACATGAAAACGTAAGGCGGGGGCCCTTGGCTAGGAAGTGGGGAACAGAGTTTAGGGGGCCGCTCTGTGCCCTCCGGAAGATTCCTCTCCTGTGGGGCGTTGAGGTCCCCACCACCCGGCTGAGGGGCAGGCTGTTCCTGCGAGTGACCAGACCCCCGTGAGCGGGCCCCAATGCTCTCTTGGCTGGGGGAGCGGGCAGGGGGCAGGGGGAGTGGCTCGGGGCCGCCCCCTGCCATGGCCGCCTGGAGCTCGGGGCTCAGCTCGCCGCCCTGGAAGGTGAGGAGGCGTGGGCTGGCCACAGGGGGCCCGTCCCCGTTCTCCAGCCCCTCAATGGCCATCAGCTCCGGGCCCCTGGCCAGCCGGCGGCCGCCTTCCCCCGGAGACTCCCCCTGCAGTAGGCCCCGCCGGAGCTCAGCCAGCCGCTTCACCCCCAGCATGAGCTTCTTCTGATGACCTGAGAGCGGGCGGATAGAGGCGGCAGGGTGAGCTGGGGCTGGAGAGGGTGCCCTTCATCCCTCCTGGACCCCGGAGCATCTTGGGGACCCTTGGAGGCAAGGGGGGGCCCAGCCAGGAGGCCCAGGGCGGTCCTCACCGAGCTTGTTGACGCCGATCTCCTGCAGCTCCTCCCAGGTGAGGTCAGCCACCAGCCCCATGGAGTCGTAGCCACTGCTCACCAGCTGCTTGTGGTACTGCGGCAGCCCCAGGGCGCACAGCCACTCCAGCAGGTCCGCCTGCAAGAGCCGCACCATCAGCCCCCACACGCCGTGAAGTCTCAGCCGGCGGTGGGAGCCCGTGCCTGCCGCCCACTCACTGGGATGTAGTTGGGCAACCACTCGGCGATGCTCAGCTGGGCGATCTCCGAGGCGATCTTCTTCCTGTGCCCAGGCTTGGTCACCCCAATGGCCGTCAGGTCCTGCCACACAGAGTCGTGCCATCAGGCCCCCTCCCCTGGCCAAGGGTTCCTGCCCCGCCCTCCCGCTGTGGCACAGACCTCAGGCGTCATGCGGCTGATGGTTGGCACGTCGTAGCCGGCCTGCAGAAAGTGGGCAGTGTAGCCCTCCAGCTGGAACTCGCTCAGCCAGTTATGAATGGCCTGAGCATCCTGCAAGTTGGGGGGAGGGGGTGCCGTTAATGGTGCTGAGCCTGCTGGGGGCGGTGCTGAGTGCCAAGGCCACAGCCCAGCCATTGATCCCAGCCCCACCCCCAGGGGCCTGGTCAGAACAGGAACTCAAGTCCATGCTGAGGCCCATCCCGCCCCCTCCTCTGGGCCCATAGCCACCTCCCCGGTGGAGGTCACACCTTCCCCTCCAGCAGCTGCTCAGGCCTCACGTCCTGGGTGAAGTGCTGCTCCCCCGAGCGATAGTTGGCCAGAGGGCGGTGGTTCGGGTTGTCTTTGAGGATGGAGAGAAATGCATTCAGGGTGGCAGGATGAAGGGATGCCAGGTCCTCAGCTGCCCCACCTGCATCTCTCCTGGCCCACCCAGGTCCCCGTCTCCCTCCCTACCTGCCAGGGACGGGGGCTGTAGTCCTGGAGGCACCTGGTCCTCTCCGGCAGAGGGCAGCGGCTGGAGACGGGAAGGAGCTGTCTCTTGTTTGGGGAACTGGCAGTGGGAGGCGGGGGAAGGGGAGGAGAAGGGGTCCAGCCCTGGTCCCAAGCACCCCCCACCCCCCACCCACCTGGGCGTTCTCGATAAGGAGGCCAGTGCTGTGGCCATTGGTGCCCTCGGAGCTCTGCCCGCTGCCAGCACTGCGGATGCTGCCCACGCTGCCCTCGCTGCCCACGCTGTTCCTGTCACCTGCTGCAGGGGCAGGAGCCAAGCAGTCAGAACCCCGGTGGGCCCCGCCCACAGCTGGCTGGCAGCTGGCCAGAGCCAGATGCTCACCCCGGGGCCCAGTATCGCCCTACCCGCTCCCGGGGAGGACGTACCTGGGCTGTCTGGGCTGAGGCCCACCCGGGGCAGCTGGCCATAGGTGAGGGGGTGCAGGGGCTCCTCGGCAGGGGGCTGTGGCGTCCTGGAGAAGCCTGGGCGCAGGGGGGTGGGCACAGAGGGGAGGCGGGGTGCCAGGACACCCACCCGCTTGCTGACCACCTCGACGATGCCTGGGGGAAAGTAGCCCACGCGGTCGGTGCCCCTCTGGCTCTCGTGGATGTGGCCCTTCCAGCGGCCGTCTGGATGCTGTTCAAGCACCTGTGGCAGACGGGCAGGGGGATGGTCACTTCTTGTGCCAAGCGGTCCAGCTCCTCCCGTCCCCCCAGGGAGCTCCTCGGATGCTCAAGTGGGCTTACAGTCCTGCCCCTGCCAGCATCCAACCCAACCCCTGGGTTGCCTCCAGGGCAAACAAAGAGTCTGCAGTGAGCCCCCGTTCAGACCCCAGCTCCACTGCAGGCTAGCGTGTGACTCTGGACAAATCACTTTAATTCTCTAAGCCTCAATTCTGTCAGCTCTAAAAAAGGAAGAGGTAGGAACGCCTACCTTACTTAGACGGGGAAGAATTCAATGAGATCGTGCAAATAAAGACCTTAACACAGAGCCTGATCCATAGCAGGTGCCCAAGTAAGTGATGGCAACCAATTGTGTTCTCAAAGGAATGCCTGCATCGGGTCCTCACCGTGATGACGTCCCCTGCCCGGACATTGAGGGCAGTGGGGTCGTGGAGGTTCCAGAAATCCTTGAGGGCCCGGACCTTCAGGATCCCTGAGGCCTCTGAGATGAGGAGGACGGGTGTCATCTGAGGGTTCCCAGGGCATCTTCCCACCCCTCCAGTCCCCTTCATGACCCTCCCCTAGGTCCCTGCCCCCTCATCCCCACAGCATTCCTCCAGCCAGCCCTAGGAATGTGACATCTGCTCCTCCACTCCCGGGGACCCTCTGGAGTGGCTCTGAACGCCCTGGGCTGGGTCTTCTCCCCACCACACTCACCCCGCAATAGCTGCTTAATCTCCCGGCTGGCCTGGGAAGTGGTGAATTGATTCACGATGTCCAGCGCCGTCTGGTTATACGTGTTCCGAATGTTCACATCCACCCCGCCCTGGGTGCACAGAGTGGGGCGAGCCTGTGTTGAGCACCGGGTTGGCCGCTTCTCCCAATTCCCACAACTACCCAGGAAGTAGCTACTGTTTTCATATTTTACACGAGGAAATGGAAGCTCAGATTTGTTCTGGGACGAGCTCAAGGTCACTCAGCCAGTGAAAGGTGGAACTGGGGCTCAAACCAGGTCTGTCTGCTTTCCAGCCACTTGGGCCCCACCAGTGCAAGACACCCCTTCTCCGGCCTCCCCAGCCGGTCTTGGATCTGGCACTGGCGGGGATCTGTATACACCTGCGGGGTGACCAGGGGTCCACACCCACCTCCAGGAGCAGCCGCACCACCTCAGTCTTGCCATACAGCGCGGCCTCGTGGAGCGCTGTGCCTGTTTTGGTCTGGCGGTTGATCTCAATCCCAGCTCTCAGGAGCTGCCTGCAGACGGGAGGGCGAGTGACTGGCGTGGGGGGCAGCGGGTACGGAAGGAGAAGAAGCTGATCGCTGGGGGCTGGGAGAGCCATCCAGAGCAAGGGTGAAGAGGGCAGCGGGGCAGGGCACTGAGGGGACGTTATCAGTCCCATGGGAAGAGGAGGAGGAAGCCGGGGAGGCCCCGGTGGGTACCTGATAACCTCTCTGTGGCCGTTCTTGGCAGCCAAGTGCAGGGGCGTGGTGTAGTTGGGGTCGCACGGGTCCTTGGCCTCCCCCTCCAGCAGTGCCACGCATAAATGGCTATTCAGCAACAGCTGGGCCACCTGCGGCAACCGGCACTTGGGTAGGGCCTCCCCTCCGGAGACCCCGCCCGCTCAGAACCCACTACCCCAAGGGCAGCAGGCCTCACCTTGAGCCGTCCAAACTCACAGGCCAAGTCCAAGGGCGTCTTCTTGGCCTTGTTGACCAGGCACGGGTTGGACTGATGCTGGAGGAGCATTTCTGACTGGGGTGGGGGGAGCTGGGTGAGGGGTCTGACCTGGCCGGGCCCCCTGTGCCGGCCCCTGCCCCCAGCCCCAGCGCCCCGTAGGCTGGTAAGCTTGCGTACCACTTCATAGTGTCCGTACTGGGCAGCCAGGTGCAGTGGGATCTGCCCGTCCAGTGAGGCAGCGTTCACGGCCGCAGAGGCGCGCAGCAGCAGCCTCACAGGCTCCAGGCGGCCCTGCCAGGCCGCGTAGTGCAGTGGGCGCATGCCTGCAGGAGGGGACAGGTTTCTGAGGGAGGTCCTGGGATGGCCTGGGATCGGGGGAGGGAACTGAGCCCAGGCTGGAGGGGAGACAGACCCAGAGGAAGCTGGGTGTGGTCAGGGAGAGGCCTGGCTGAAGCCAGAAGCCCACCGTGCCCAGCACAGAGGATCTGGTGGCCTTGTAACCTCAACTTCCCCAGCTGGATAATGGGATGTCAGTACCACCCATGACCCCAGGAGGCTGTGAAGACTGACGAGGTCCAGCATCTGCAAGCTCCCAGAAGCCACGCCCACATCCCTTGGCCCTGCCGTGTTGTGGCAGGAGCACATTGACCCCAGGCTCTGGGGTAGGGGGTACCCTGGGCTCTCACCATTGCTGTCCTTGATATCCACGGTGGCCTGAGCCTCCAGCAGCAGGGCAATGAGCTCCAGGCTGCCCCCCAGGGCGGCATGGTGGAGAGCCGAAAAGCTGGCGTGGTGGGACATGGGTCAGAGGTGTCAGGGAGCAGTCCCCACCCCCGAAATCCTGGTCTTCCAGGGCAGACTCATCCTGGGGGCTGGCGTGGCTGAGTTACTTGCCCACTGTGGCCGACCCCTCCGGTGCCCCCCCGCCCCCGACACACACACACCCTGCCAGCCGTGCCGTGGGAGCGCAGAGCTGCTGGGCTGCGGCATGAAAGGGCTCAGTGTCTGGGCTGAGAGGCCTGTTTGTCTGGCCTCCCCCTCAGCGGGCCCAGGGGAGGGGGCCGTGGGAGCAGGAGCCCCAGGGCTCCTACCCTCCAGGGAGAAAAGGGGGCCCAGCAGGAATGGGACCCAAGGAGGCCTCTCAGAGGCCCCCTCCCCGCACTCAGAGGCAGCCCCACGGGCAGGCGCGCGGGCAGACAGGGGCCAGAACGCTCAGCGAACACGCTTCCAGGGCCGGGTTTGAGAGGGAAAGGGACTCCAGGCCCCCGATCCTTCTCCGCCCCTCCCCCACCACACAGTTATCAAGAGGGATTGGGGGGGGCGGGTTCTCACTCACCCATCAGCATCCTGGTAGTTGACATTGAGCCTCTTCGTGGAGCCAAGGAGCTCTGGGGGTCAGAGCGGAGGTGTCAGGGCGCCCGTACCCACCCCTGACCCAGGGTCCCTCCTGCCCACCACTCGGCTCCCGCTGACCTCTCGGAGTGCAGAAAAGCACCTGTCCCATGGTCCGCCAAGCTGTCTGGTCCCTGTGGGCCCCCCACCCCAGCCCATCAGCTGGAGGGTGCTGATGGCAAGGAGCTGCTGCTGCAGTGGCCTGGCTTCCCCGGGTCCCCAGCCCCACTTGTTTATAGTCAAAGGGGGCGGAGATGGGCCCCCCCCCAACCCGGGCCTGCCGTGCCCTCAAAGGACAGGCCCACAAGCGCATGGTTGGCATTCCTGCCTGAATGGGCTGAGGAGCGAGTCTCATTGTTCCATGGGCCGAGGGGGCTGAGAGAGAAGAGAGAGGGACCAGAAGCTTGAAGTGAGAGGGTGGATGCCAGGGCTGGACCCAAGGGCCACATGCCTGGCCAAGGGGGCATCCCTGAATGGAGCTAGAGGGGAAGGCAGCGTCACGCAGACCTACACCATGTCCCAGCCGGCTCTGCCAGGCACTCACTGTGTGATCTGCGGAAAGTCACTTAACCTCTCAGGTTCAGGGTCCTCATCTGTAAAACGGGCTGATCACAGAAGCCACGCATGAGGGCTGTGAGTACAATGCCTGACCCTCATGAAAAACGGGAGCTATCAGCATTTAGCGCTCCTTACATGTTAGCCCATACTCCTGAGATGCGGTGTCTCCAGTGAAAGCTGGTAGAGTCCTACCCACCAGCCCCTGTCAGGGGAGGAACTGCAGACTCTGAACCCACAGGCTCCTAGCAGACAGCTCCCTGACCTAGGGCAAGGAATGGCAAGAGGACCAAGGGGCAGGGGTAGGACACTGGATCAGTCCCCTCTCGGGGACAGGGTTCATGCAGGTGTGCTCCACATGTGAGCCAGGGTGCAGGAGGCGGGGGGCGGCGGTCCTCGGGAAGAGGAGAGTGCTGTCACAGGCGGCCCCTGCCTCCCGCTGGAACCCACCCCTGCCGGGAAGGAGGAGGAGGAGGCCCGGCTCAACCCAGCTGGGCACGGTGCCAAGTGTGCTGGTCCAGGCCTGCCCCCCAGGCCCCAGTGGGCCCCTGAATACCCCAGTAAGACAGGGCCTCATTCCAATAGGGAGGGACCAAGCCTGCAGCAGGAGGCACACAGGACAAGACGGGGAGACAGCTACGTTTAGGGCCGAGCCGAACGACGCTGCACCGAAAAGGTAAGAGCTGAGGAGTGATGAAGCCACGAGGGACTGGAGGCCGCTCCCAGCCATCCTGCAGCCCCCTTGGAAAGTCCTCGCCACACAGCACCGCTCAGCGCAGTGGACAGAACAGAGGCCCGAGGAGCAGGATGCACGTGGTTCAGATTCTTCTCTCTCTGCTCGGCTGTGTGGCCTTGGCCAGCCCCGGGACCTCTCTGAGCCTCGGTGAGGACAAGGAGGTCAATACAGGGAAGTCTCTCCACCTGCCGCCCGCCTGGACGGTCTGGGGTGGCCGAGAGGCAGTCCCTCCAGGGAGTGGCAGGATAACGTGACAGGAACAAGGGCAGGGCCAGCCTGGGTGGCTCTATGTGGTTTTTTTTTTCCAGAACAATGGCCGGAAAGGCGGTGGGGGAGAGCCTCCGAGTGACTGGGCTGGGGACCTTGGCGGGGAGGGCGGAGGGTCCTAGGTTCCTGGCAGCGGCTCCAGGCACTTCCCCTGCGCCACCACCTTCTTCCCAGGCCCGGGCTCTGGGGGTGGAAGGGTCGCGCTCCTGATTTAGGCTCTGGTGGAGGATGTGAGCTCAGCGGGCCACCCCCGGCCCGCTCCATTTCCTCTGGTCGGAGAAGGGGACAGCTCAGAGCAGGGAGGAGGGAGGAAGGGCAGAGGCTAGGCCTGGGCATCAGTTGCCCTCTTCTCCCAGGCACCTGCGCCCTGAGGACCCAGACAGGCAGGGAGGGCCGGCCCCCCAGTGACCTGGTACCCAATGGAAGAGGCTCAGGGCGCACCCCTCTTTGGACTGCCAGGAAGCTCGAGCCACCGCCCAGAGGGGAAAGAGGGAGCCCTTGATGCCTCCCTTCCGGCAGTTCCCTTCACCCTATTGGGTATGGAGCAGGAGTCTGCAGCCACTCCCTCCTGAGAACTGCTTCAGAATCACCCGAAGAATGATCTGATTCTGCAAAGTCCTCAGCTCTCTGTGATGATTCTGTAATACTGAGGGAGACCAGGGAGTCGTCACTTTCAGAACAATCCCTGGGTGATTCTGATTGGCAGCCGAGTGCGGTAGCACAGGGAGGAGGGCTTGGGCTTGTGGGGTGATCTGCCACGCCACGGCTGTGTGACCTTGGGCAAATCACTAACCCTCTCTGAGTGTCAGCTTCCTTGTCTGTAAAGTGGGTACAGAAGTGCCTGTCTCAGGGAATAGAGGCAACTACAACGTGGCCCTATGGACAGTAGTCGCCAGGCTCTTCTGTCTGTGGGATTCTTCAGGCAAGAATACTGGAGTGGGTTGCCATTTGCTTCTCCAGGGGATCTTTCGGACCCAGCCATCAAACCCAGGTCTCCTGCCTTACAGGCAGATACTTTACCAACTGAGCCACCAGGAAAAGCTCTAGGGTCTGCAAAGGTCACTTTGGGATCTCCTTTTTGTCACCAGCTTTCCCAGCCTCTTAGAGGACTGGGAGGGGAGACAGGGAGTCCCAGGACCCTATGACTCTACACCTGTGCAAATGCCTTGGGGGTGGGGGGATGGTCATCTTCCCCCACAGACATTCCCTTCTGAGCACCAGGGACCTTCCCAGAGCCTAGGACCCCAGCTGCAAAGTTCCCGCCACCAGCCTCCAGCCGCTTGCCTCCCTGAGGGCCTCACTTTGAGGCCGCAGGGCTACGAGGCCAAGGCCCCACTGGGCAGATTGCCAAAAACAACACCGAGGTGCGGGGAGGAGGGGAGCGGCTCCCACTCTTGGGCCTCCAGGGCCCTCCTTGGCACCTTCCCCTTACCAGGCTCACCCTGCAGCCACTTCCCCAGGGCACAGAGAGCACCCTCTCCAACTCCATCTCCCAACAACCTGGGTGTCCTGCCCTGGTGTGGAAGTGCAAGGGGCACTCACACATGTGCACAACTCCCAGGCCCTTAAAATCCTTCCTTCGGGCACCACACTCCCAGGCGTGGGTGGGGATAATTAGACATCTTCGGGTAGCCCAGGGGACGCCTGCCTGTGAAAGGGCCAAGCTGCGTTTTGGGGCTAGAGCCCCAGCACTTGAGAAGGATCCTCCCTCCCCTCCTGTCCCTGCTGGTCGAGCAACTCAGAGGACAAGTCCAGGGTCCTCCTGGGACAGTCCAGGGAGCTTGCCCTGAAGCCCAGAGGTCTATTCTTCTTGGGGGGGTCTCATTGCAGAGGTACTCAGGGGCTGGAAGTCAGGTGCGGCCACCTGTGCACGGAGCCCCCACAGCCCTATCGACTAGAGACCCTAGGTTGTGGAGAGGCCTCTCTCTCTCAGGAAATTAACTTTGGACACACACCCTCCAGTAAGCTTCAGTAACCGGTTAGATAATGTGAACTTTGTTTTAAGCAGAAAGTGAAAGTTGCTCAGTCGTATCGGACTCTTTGCAACCCAATGGACTATACGGTCCATGGAATTCTCCAGGCCAGAATACTGGAGTGGGCAACTTATCCCTTCTCCAGGAGATCTTCCCGACCCAGGAATCGAACCAGGGTCTCCCGCATTGCGGGCAGACTCTTTACCAGCTGAGCTATCAGGGAAATCCCTGTTTTAAGCAGAATTCCCTTTTAAAAAAGCTATCTTACACTCAGAGGAGCCCACGATAAATGTGTCCCACTGCTGTAATTAAATAATAAAAAAGCTATCTTACAAATGTTGTCATCAAATTGATAAAAACACAGAGATACTCTGGTTGGACTAGAGGGGTCAGAGGTGGAGCGCTACCTATTCAGTCTTTCCCAACCCACTGCCAGAAACCCCATGGCTCCAAAGAACACACTGGAAAAACCACCTGCTGAAGGCAACTCCACAAGGGCAGGAACTTGGGTCAGTTTTGTTCACTGCTGGAGCTCAGAGCATAGAACAGAGCCTGGCACACAGTAGACACTCCCCCCAAATTAGAATGAATGTACTTCACTCCTTTCACTCTACAGGTGAGGAAACTGAGGCCCAGAGAGGTTAAGAGATTTGCCTAAGCATACACAGCAAGGGGGACCCAACTTCCTCTCTGACGTTCCCACACTGAGGCACTCCGACCCTAAGGCCCCAGATACACTGAGGCACTCCGACCCTAAGGCCCCAGATACACTGAGGCACTCCTACCCTAAGGCCCCAGATACACTGAGGCACTCCTACCCTAAGGCCCCAGATCAGAGTGACCACTCCCCCCAGGCCTCTCTCTACAGCCTGGCACTCAGAGGAGGGTCTCAGGTAGACAGTCACCCCACCAAGTACTCACTTGTCTTTGTGGCCTTGACCTTCGCCACCAGTTTCTGCACACCAGTCACATCTCCATTTTTGACAGCGAGGATCAGGTCCTGTTCTCGACCCATCCTTCCCGGTCCCTGGGCTGGACTCTGGGCTCAGGGGTCCAGGGCAGAGGCAGGGAACCTGGTCTAAGCTGAGGTGTCAGGGTGCCATCCCTTGGCCCTTTGGAGGGCCAGGTGTCCAGTGGGGGGGAGTGTGTCTGGCGTTCCAGGCAGTGGGCTTCTTGGCAGGCGTTGACGGGTACTCCTTCAAGGTGCTTCGTGAGCTGCCGCCACAAGCAGGAAAGCTGATCTCTGAAGGGGTGGAGGCTGTGTGGAAATCTGGACGGATATCAGCTTGCAGCTTCCGACAGCCCAGGGATGGGCCGGGACTGGGGGTGCCAATCCTCCCGACGTGGCTCAGGAGCACCAGTGCCCACCCAAAGAGAAGCCAGCATTCCCTCGCGCTTTGGGCAGCAGGGGCGGCCAGGTCTCGGGGGGTCTGGAAAAGGTGTGATCCGCTGAGCGTCTGAAGGCTGAGTTGGAGTCTGTAAGGGTCCCAGAAGGAGGGCTCAGAGAAAGAACAGGACAGGGCTTCCAGGGAGCCCCCAAGTTATCCTGGCTGCCCTTCTGAGTCCAGGGAGGGGCTGAGCCAGTGTAAGCGGGAGGCAGCCGCCATGCACGAGAGGAGTGTTGGGAGGGGGGAAGGGGTGTTCTGGGAGGGGGAGGCTGAGTCACCGAGGCCCCAGGGCACCTGGCAGCACCTCAACCCGGGCAGGAGGGGCCCTGGCAGCACGACACACGGGGGCAGGTCAGGCCAGCAGCCTGTTCTCCACAGCCTGAGGCTCTGACACCCACAGACAAGCGGTGGGCCAGAAGGTGGGGCCGGGGAGGGTCAGGCACAGGCGGCCTGGCGGGGGTCACCCCTCCCCAGCTCGGCTCTGCCCTGATCGCCGGAAGCCCTAGCCCAAGGGCTCTTTATGAATTCAGAAGGTGGAGTGTGGAGCTATGGCCCCCCATCTCTGGCGGAGGGTCTGCCTGCAGGACAGTGAGGCTTTACAGCACCTGTTGCTGACCCATCCTCACCCCTAGTGCGGGATGGAGAAGCAGCCGGGCAGAGAAGAGAGATGAGAGCTGGGGTACTTCTGCTAAATGGGGCTGTCCGCCCTCCCAAGCCTGAATCTGGGTCCCAAAGCCCCAACTTTACTTTAGAAAAGCTTACGTCAGTCTCTCAGTGGCCGAGAATTTGTTGCCCGAGTCCCGTAGCATGAGACCCGCGGCAGGCCTGGGGCCCTAGCTGGGGTCCTCTTACTCCCCAGAAGTCCCAAGCCCAAACCAGATGGCACTCCAGCTCAAAGCCCGCGGCCCGACACAGGGGGAGGGCGCCCCTGGCAGTGCATGGGGTCGGGCTGGCTCCCCCGCCCCCCGGAATGCCAGTCCAGCGCCGCGCAACCCCCCAACCCAGCCCAGCCCAGGCCGACCGGGGAACAAAGCGGCGAGAAAGACCGGGAGGGCCAAGCGCCCGGAGGGATTGATGCGGGGAGACGGTGTACTTGCGCGAGGAGAACGGAAGGACCCGTCGGATGAAGGCGCCCGCGGATCCCGCAAGAAAAGTTACTTTGTGCCCGCCCTCAGGGGTGCTGACCCCCAGATCAGGCCCCACAGTCTCACCTTTCCCAGCCGCCCCGCCGGGGGTCCGGCCGGTCCTGCTCGGTCCCTGGCCCCCTGGACGGTGGCTCCCACTGCCCCCCCCTTCACCCCTTTTCTCCTCCTTTTCCAAGGCCGGCTCGGCGCCTCCCGCAGGAAATCCCGCCCCTCCCCCCTCCCTCCCGCCGGATCGGGAGCGGAGGGACCGTCCCGGCCGCGCAGCCAGGCTGTCAGTCAGAGCCTGCGGCCCCGCCCCGATCCACGAGGGGCCCCGCCCCGATCCACGCGAGGCCCCGCCCCACCTCCCGGGGCCCGAACGTCCGCGCATGCGCCCAGGTGAAGCGGTGGGGGCGGGGACTAGAGAGCGATCCTCGGCATCCAGACTGCAGCCTGGGCGCGACCTCTGACGGGCGGGAGAGACACCCTGTGTGTGACGGGGTGCGAGAGAGGACGCGATGAGACGAGAGCCGGGAACCGAGACCCAGGAATCCCACTTGGGGAGCCCCCGGGGAGTCCCCGGGAGCCCCCCCCACCCCGTTCTTCTTCCTCGCCCCTCGTCCTTCCCGGGACTCTCGCAGCAACCTCCGCCCGCGACCCGAAGTCAAGGGCCGACGGCCCCTGGTCGGGGCGATGGTGCCACCTAGCGTGCCGTGTGGGGACGGCACGAGGCAGCGGCGGCGGAGACCCCAGGCTCCGGGAGGCGCTAACGACCGGCTGGGGTGGCGCTTCAGCACCGCCGTGGGTCGGACAGCGCCTTCCGCCGCCCCCCCAAGTCCTGGAAGCCCGGCTTCCGAGCCCCCAGGCAGGGACCCAGCGAAAGGACCTGAAAGAACTGCGGGTCCCTCTAGCCTGCACCTGGCGGCCCGTGGTGGCCCTCAGTGTGCGAAGCCGAATTGGGAAACCCAGCGTTCTCCCTTCTCTAACCCCCGCCCCTCTTCCTCCCGGTCCAGCCTGGGTGACGCGCACTAAGCAGTCCGGGGTTGCGGAGGGGAGGGTCACGCTTATAACTCTTCATACAACGCTTTCAAACGCCAGTCTCCTCGAGAACTACTAGAGAGGAGCCCCAGAGGCGGGCGGGGGATAGGAGAGGGGGAGCTCCTACAAATCCAGAAACTAGCAAACTCTCCGCCCTCTAGTAATCGCGACTCATATTTGTCGGCGGGCGCTAGGACCCAGGACACCCAGGAAGGTGGGAAGCAGGTGGGTGGACCGGAGCCCCGGGGAGCGGCTGTGGGAACCGCTCGCGCTAGGGCCGCGCGGACTACCGGCGGTGGGCGGGGTAGGGCGGTGCGCGCGCAGCGTAGGCCAGCCCCACCCGATGGATCCCGAGCCCGAGTCGGCCTCCGTGGAGGTTCCGGCCGGGCGCGTGCTCAGGTGCGGCGTGGCTAGGCCTAGGGGTTGGGGGCGGGCGCCGTGGC